CATGTTTAGGAATATAATATATCTATGTAAGTGCCACTCGAGTTGGCTAATTTATTTCAAAATACAAATTAAAACTTAAAAGGAAACATTCCAGGTCCATTAAAGGACTATTTCGTTTAAGGCGGTATATATTAAAGTCACCTGCAAGTACGACATTTCTTCTCAAGTTATTGTTACAGATTTACGACAATACTTTTTCTAGTTGCTAAAAATTAAGTTATTCGATTCAGGTACTCTATACAAGATGTAGTTTTGAAACCGTGGCGTTTCTCGGGAGCATGTCACAGAAGTCATAAAAGTTCAATGTAAGAAAAAGTTTCAAGCAAATAGTTAAAAATACGGCTTTGATAAATTGTTTAAGTTCGACAGTATTTCAGAATAAGCGACTGCAATGTTTCTTATTGGAGTTTTATGGAATTAGGAATAATATCAATTGCCTGTTTGAGTTTGTGTGCCGCGTTATAAAACTAGTTAAAAGACGGCGGCGTGTAGTTCGCACTTACGGATTTCCGTAATTTACAGAAAAGTGAAAAATATTTACCTACAATTTTTTATTCGGACTCAGAATCGATAGCCGCGGTACTTCCTATAAAATGGCGCGGCTTTAAAACAACACCTTGTATATATAAACGACAATTTGACTGCACGGTTGGCGCGGTGGCTGAGCAACTGGCTGCCGCGCAACGTGTCGCGGGTTTGATTCCCGCACGGAACAATTCTTTGTGTGATCCACAGATTGTTTTTACGAGTCTGGGTGTCATGTATATGTGAACTTGTATGTTTACAAATGCACCCACACGACACAGGAGATAATTCTAGTGTGGGGCAACGTTTTATTTTAAATAAATAAAAAATAAAATTCGGATTATACATTGTTACACATTCGAACACTGCATTTATGGAGTGTTTGGCAATATCATGAAGTTCACTAAGCTGGTGACGCTTTTTGCCATAATTCTTTGTTGTACTTTGGTGTACAATTGATACTAATTAAAAAACTGAGACTAGTATAAAGTTACCTGTGAGTCGTGGTATGGCGATATGTATTTCTCGGCATCTTTAAGCAGAGTGCGCCATTTGGTGTTACGCGATTGGATGCGATACAAGTCGAACACGGGTGCGTTTGCGAGGATTATTGTGAAGCATTCTCCATCTTCACTCAGCAAATCATAAATATTTCTGAATACGCGCCTGAAACAGTAAAAATGTAATGTTAATCGCATGAATAACTTCTGAGACTTGATTGGCAATTCAGTATAGAGGTTGATGGGGTATGATAATGGTTTCAGTCGTGACTTATCTCAAGATCAATAAGGGATCTCAGGTTTAATCACACAAAACAACAAATATATTTTTCATTTCCCAAAGGTATTAAATTCTTACCTATCTAAGACAATTGTCTTCCTCGTATTAGGTACACAAAACACCGTTAATTAGTTCGCAGCGCTACACATCGACACTACTATGACTACACAATATACATGTGATTGTGTAATTTCATATTAATAGATATGTATTGAAAAATTCGTCTATCATACTCATCTTGGTATTTAACTCGTCGAGTACCGTCATTATAGACACAATTATAGAACAATAGGTTGCGGTCACCGGTGACCGCTTGGTGTTTGACAGTTTAAATATCATTTTTGTGTCGGTATACGTAATTATTTAGTAAATAGGTAAGTTTAAATAAAAACGAGGGTAAAGATAAAAATAACTTATAACAAACTTTGAATAAATCGAAATCAAATAATGAGCAATCTATAGAAAGCTATAAAATACCCATATAAATATAGTGTTTTCTCATCGTATATTTATGTTACTGAATGGTATACAATATTTCGATGCCCTCATTCACAGCGCGCTTGGCGCAATGGTTATCACCTCCAGTAAAGTGCCGCCGTATCGATTCCAGCATTCACAAGTTGATTAAACTGTCAAATACCAAGCGGTCACCGGTGACCGCAACCTATTGTTCTATAATTGTGTCTACAAAACCGGTACTCGACGAGTTAAGTATTCATTCATCAAATATTTAAAATTTGAAACAAGTTTTTAAATCTTTGCTTTTTTTTCTTATCCTATTTTTCTAAATCTTCTTATGTTAATTTTAAAAGTATTTACTTTATAGCATGATATTTCCCAATTCGACTATAAGGTTTATTGGCATATTGATTAATTATTATTTAAACTGTCAAACACCAAGCTGTCACCGGTGACCGCAACCTATTGTTCTATAATTGTGTCTACAAAACCGGTACTCGACGAGTTAAAGAACTTTAAGAACTTAACATGGGGTATGATAATTAATTATTATAAATATTGAATATTATAATTTGTATATATTAATTTGTATAATAAATAAATTTATTGTAATAAAAAATAGTATTGTTTTATTTAACGACTTATCTGCTTCTTTTATAGCCTGATTATATATTTCAAAAAACAAAAAAAAAATAAATAAAAAAACTACATAGTAAAATAAAAAAAGAATCGTTTAGCTAGAATAGAACTCACGTCATCAATGATCCTTGAAAGACGATAACAGCGTGCTCATTATCCAATCGACCACGAACACTACGTTATTAACTGTCAAAATGTCGGGTCATATCAATGATTGTAAATAGTTTTAACCAGTTTTAACCTTACCCATGCATTAAATTATAAAAATACATATACCGACACAAGAATGAAAATACCAATGAACGTGGTGGACGAATATTTTTATACACAGTAATATGAAATTACCCACACATGTACACTGTGTAAATGACAGTAGTGTCGATGTGTGGCGCTGCGAACTAATTAGCGGTGTTTTGTGTACATAAATGTGACTTCATATAAGTTTCAAAAGTTGGAGTTGAATATAAATGTGATTGTATACCTTTGCCCAGTCAAAAAAAAAATACTGCCTCTTATTCCTCGAAAGGTTGGACAAAGGTATTTTTTTTTTTTTTTAAGGGGGGAAAATCATCGAATGACTGCCCCCGCCTGGGTGAGGCGGGAGGGAGTGTCAGACTCTTACTGACTAAAAACCACCCCGTTCCTTCTCCTGCACGTCGAGCCGGAGCCCCGGTTACCCGTTAGGTTCTCCGCGACAATTAAAGAACAATAGGTTGCAGTCACCGGTGTCCTCGCGGTATTTGACAGTTTAATACGAGAAAAAAAAATATGTGTGTAATATTTTTTCATTATCTCACTGACGGACTAATTAGATTTTTAATTTTGATACCCTGGAAACTACACAATTACGTCAATAACTTCCTTCAATTCCCATGTTTACTACGCAAGTCCGTTTATAATAAGTCAGGTCGTTATTCTAAGTAGGTCCGTATCAATAAAACTCAGCCAGAGGTAGATATTTCAAGTAGATAAATCACAGTCCTTTGTTCACGCCAAGTTGTTAGATAACATCAGAATATTAAGAAAATGCAAACGAATTCAGTACGCAAACGCAGATCGAGCACAGAATGCGCGCGCCAAGTGACATTAATAATTAATGTCATCTGTTAATTTATCAACTGTCGCGCGGCGCTGCGACGCGATTGACATAACTTTTTTATTTATAAACCGACTAGCTTTTACACGCGGCTTCGCTCGCGTCACAAAAAGTAGCCTATGTGACTATCCATCCCTTCAGTTAAAAAATCACGGTTATTAGTACCTCCGTTCTGCCGTTTAAGACAGGCAAACAAACAAATAGCTTTCCGCTCGCGTGGAATTCGGTTATATCGCGCTATTTAGGTTTTTCCAATAAGTAGCTAACTCGTTGACTGGTTTTAAATGACATACAGCGCCATCTATACCTTTACATACAGCGCCATCTATACCAATATTTTTGTTTTCCCTGGGAAAATTAAAATTTTTCATTTTCCAGAGTTCTAACTTTACGTCTGCAAAATTTCAAAGCAATCGGTTTAGTAGTTACGGCGTGAAAGCGGAACAAACAAACAAACTCACTTTCCGATTTATAAAATATTGAACCGATTTACACAAAACTAAGACTAAATGACAAACCGCAACGCAATGTTGAAAACCGCATACAATTAGTCCGTTTTTGAGATTAGCCCGAACAAACGTACAGATAAACGTACAGACAGACTAAAAAACAGACAAGAATTCTAAAAATCATTGTTATGGGTTCTATTGCGTATATAAAGTTCCCCTAAAAAAGTTTTTCTTATTCATCTGCATGTACAGACACCAACCTTTTACAATTATATTATATGTAGGTATATTGATTATGTTGATTTTTAATAATAAGAAGAATTCAAGTTACGTAAAACGAAGCGTTATAATATAATAATAAAAATGGATTCCTATCAAGTCTCGTGGCACTACACATGTCGGTCTATTTACGCTGTATAAAGGAAAATATATGCAAGTCGTATATGGTATGGACAGAATTCCCACTATGCTAATTGCTAGCAATTACGTTTAATTGTAACATTTATGCGTTATAATAGTTATTATTATGTCATTGTTATGCAACGATTTTTGTACAGGTTTTTATTTATTAAGCAAAATAAGGAAGTTCATCACCTGTTGCAGATTTTTCAATCAACAGATAATTCCTATCTGTAGAATATAATTGATATTCGATATTTTTTGTAGTGAAGAAGTGTCAAATATCTGAACTTATTACCCCGAAATTTATGTGGCGTTCAATAAATCAGTCCTAACATGAAATAAAAACGCGTAAACACGGTCAGGAACATATGATAAATTGTCGAAATTCCTACACTAAAGAAATATTTAAACAATACTGACTTACTCTTGATCCAAGATCCAGTGCAAGGCGTAGGAGGAGAAAACATGGTCGAATTGTTCCTTCATGTCTTCGGGAATATCTCCTGCGATGTCCAGCACTGTGAACGAGGTTTGTTCATTGGAATGGTGGTCATTGGCGAAGTTCACCATCTTCTCACTGATGTCACAGCCGAGCAGCTTGAAGTCAGTAGGGATGTACTTCTTCAGCATGCTGGTGACACTTCCATCTCCACATCCAATGTCCAGAACGTTGCTGATACTCTTCTTCCACTTTAGTTTAGGGTAAATGTCATTTAAAAGGTTGAGTGCATCCCTCTTCGAGATGAAGTTATTTTGCTCGAACAAAGCGGGGTTATTCATAGTTGATTTTTTGAAGATTTTCGGCTAACTGTAAAATATTTTTTGTTTTGTTTTCTTCGAGTGTGCGTACGCGTGGTCGAGTGGAGCGCGGTTGCGGCGGACAGTCGCTACAGAAGCGAGGCAGTGCGCATTTATACGTGTCTCGATCGCGTCTCACCCAAACATCCGTGGAAGCAAGGGATTTAGTACCTACACATCATCTTATTTTTATTGACAATTAGCTTCTGCCAGCGCGAACGCGAAATCCCGTTTTCTCCAGTTCCCGTAGGATTTTTAGGTTTTTTTTAAGTCATAAGAACCTTCTCCTTTTAATAACAAATACAACAAAAAAGGATTAGTGAAATCGGTCCACGGCCGGTGACCATGGGAAAAAGGGATTCAGTTTCAGGTAATTATTTTATTATTAACAAAACTATACATAAATAGTTTGACTGTTGGATCTTCTACATTTGTATTAAATTACTATTTATTATATGGTTTAAATAAATATTTAAAAACCTATTATAACATAAAGCTTTGTTTAAATAACATATATGTATGTGTAAATATATATCATAGTTAAGTAGTATGTAATATAAATAAAAATGTGTTGATAAATGTAGTTCTTATTCAATGTTTTACATCGATATAATAAATTATTATGTACGTATTGTTATATAATTAATGTATTACTCAAGAATATATATTTGTAGAATATAAAATAGAAGAATTCACACATTCCACTGATACCATTAATCCAGGTACCTGTGCATAGGTATATACCTAGCCCAACAGCGGGTACATTTTCTTATCTAATTATTATAATGTGCTATGTGGAAAAATAAATATATGAAAAATATAGAAAATTAAATTATTTAATTATTGAAAAGTAAATACGGGATACGGTTTTTCATTGATCGATCACCATAAACATTATTAACCCATGGTACCTCATATTTACCAGGCTTTTTTTTTTTTTTTTAAGGTGGGAAAATCATCGAATGACTGCTCCCGTCTGGGTGAGGCGGGAGGGAGTGTCAGACTCTTACTGACTAAAAACCACCCCGTTCCTTCTCCTGCACGTCGAGCCGGAGCCCCGGTTACCCGTTAGGTTCTCCGCGACTCCGAATCGGCATCGGCCGTATTGGGCCCCATCTGTGGTGGTCTGATGGCTCTTTGAGGCGCGCGCGGAACGCGACGCGCCGTACGCTCGGGTCTGTTTCTGGTCGGACGGGGAGCCACCCATGCTCGCCGTCCGCAGGCCCGCGCTTACGGTGGCCGGAGATCGTCTCGCGATCCCCGACGCCCGGTGTGTCCTTCGCGATGGCTGGGTTGCGAGGAGGCAGCGCTTCGCTGCCTCACGCGTCCCGCCTCCTCCTTAGCTAGCATGACTGCTTCGCAAAAGGAGGAGACGGCATCCCAGTCCCCCTCGCTCCGCATCATGGCCTGCACTAGGCCCGGACGCGAGAGGTCGCCATCGCCGATCACTTCCCTGAGGACACGGCGGTGCTCAGCCCACGAAGGGCATTCTCCCACCGTGTGTTCCACCGTGTCCTCAGGGCGGTCCTCGCAGTGATGACACCCGGGCGTTTCCTCCCGCCCCATCAGACACAGGTACCTCCCGAAGCTTCCATGTCCGGTGAGGACCTGCGTCAGGCCGTAGCGTCTCTCAAGCCACTCCTCAAAGAGGGGACTTACCGCTGCGATGGCAGCGAGCCCAATATTTACCAGGCTACATCGATCAGGTGTGTTTATTACATTTATTATATCAGTGGTGGATTATGTTCCTGTTTGCTGTGGATATTGGTTGCGAGAATGTATGTATTTATGTTTGAGTCTGACCGGGAATACTTTACAGATTTTGAATAATTTATAGTAATCATTTTTATATTTATTTTTAGATTTTTTATCAACTACTAATTTTAGGACCCTAATTTGAGAGTTTTTTAATTTTTTCATGTAGGTTTTGACTTTAGACTCCACCATACATTTATACAATACTCTTAATGTACTTCTAGGTACTCGATAACTTGGTGGTAAAATTTACTTAATGTAGTTCTAAGTTTATTGCACAAGTAATTTATATATTCAATCCAGGAAAAGTGCTCGTCAACTTTGACCCCTAGGTAGGTCACATTATTTACTCTCTGGATAGGTTTGCAGCCGCAGTTGGCAGTGTTTCTATCAGTGCAGTCAAAAGTATGGGTGTATATTGGTAAAGGAGTTTTCTTCAGAGGTGAGTACGGTGAGTGTATAATTAAATATTGTGTTTTCTCCGTATTAAGTACTATTCCGTTGTCATGAGACCATTTAACTACAGCGTCCACGTCTTGTTGGACTAGTCGGCACGTTTCAGCGGCGTCAGTACCGGCTCGCAAGGCGCAGAGGTCATCCGCGGAGCAATGTTGAAGGATATTACCTACACAGGCTGTTTCCGTGCATTAAATAACATACGGGACCACTCCCTGATCCCTGCGGAACCCTATATCGGACAATTTTTTCGTCGCTGAACGTGTCGCTTATCTTGACCCGGTAAGAGCGGGAGGTGAGGTAGTCTCCGAACCATTCTTTCAGTGGCTTCTCCACCCCACACTCTTCCATACATGTTATCCACGTGTTGGTTTCTAACGTGTCAATTGCTTTATTATAGTCGAAAAATCTTACTACAACCAATTCTTTTTTCATTTGAATAATTGTGTTGGTAAAATTGGTTAGTAATGTATTAGTACTCTTATTTTTTGAAATCCGTGTTGTGCTTTGTTTATTATGTTGTTTGTACTTAAATAGTTCCCAAGTTGATTTATTATACACTTTTCCATTACTTTGTCAATACTGGATAAAATCGCTATCGGTCTATAGTTAGAGAATTTCTTATGGTCTCCTTTTTTATATATAAAATAACATAACATCACGCCTTTTTATCCTCAAAGGGGTAGGCAGAGGTGCACATTCCGGCACTTAATGCCACAGTACAAAATATTCCCCGATAAACTAAAAGAAGCAATTATTCGTCCTATGTATAAAAACTGCCTCGTTGGCCGAGTGGTCGCATATGCGACTGCCGGGCAAGGGGTCTCGGGTTCGATTCACGGATAGGGCAAAGTATTACTAGGTTTTTAAAAATCTAGTAGCACGGAGTTTGGAACTGTGCCCGGTATATGGCAATAGGCTCACCCCCTATTACATGGGACTCATAATATAAATAGTGAAAAGTGGGTGTTGCATTGCACAGTGGTATAATGTGCACCTCTGCCTACCCTTTCGGGGATAAAAGGCGTGATGTTATGATTGTTTACTATGTCCTAACAATATATGTATTCTGTGCCATATCTTCTTAATATTTTATTACAATTAACTCGTCGAGTACCGGTTTTGTAGACACAATTACAGAACAATAGGTTGCGGTCACCGGTGACCACTTGGTGTTTGACAGTTTAATAATACTCTGTCTATCGTATTCATTGCTACATTGAGATATATTTTTAAAGCATTTATTTCTGTATTTAGTGTATTCTAATCTCCTAATCATATTCTTTGGGTCGTTGCATAATACCTTGAACAGTATATCTCTCTCTTCTTTTATTGTTTTTAAGTAGTCTTAACCCTTATTATTTCTATTGTTGGTGTACTGTTACATATTTATAACAATTAATATAACTATATATACAAATATTTATAAAAATAACAGTTTTATAACAATCATTATAGATAATAATAAATAGTTGCTTAAGGGAATTATACAATACAACCGGACATTCGATAGCTAATAATGTTTCAAAAACTGCATTCAATAATTCTAACCAAACGATTATCAAGAACACGGCGGCGATGCGCGGTCGGCATATTTCTCCCACTAATCAGCTCTGATCGGCCACGCGGAGCGCTGTAACAGCGCTGTTACAGCGCTGTTGCCAGCGCGTGCGTTACTCCACAGAGCGCGGTTCCACTGCACTGCGGCCGATACTAGGAAGTGATCCGATATTTTCTACAGTATTACCGCGGAATAAATAAGTGTAGTTGGTATTCTAACGTAAAAGTAAACTAGACATGATTCCAGTCGCGAACAACCTATCGGGTTACCGGGGCTTCGGCTCGACGTGCAGGAGAAGGGACAGGGTTTTAGTCAGTAAGAGTCTGACACTATATATTATGTACTGCCGAAGCAAGTACAAAGTTCACTCGAGCCTTCAATGACTCGCGGGTATTGACTAGTACACCTCCCCCGGTTCGCCCCGTTCATGTCAAACAATGAACATTAAAACCTTCAATCTTATAAAATTGTATCATAGAAAAGTTAATGTTCGGTTCTGTTATAATTAGTACATCAATGTATTTTAAATTATTATGTGGGGTAACTGCTAATTTATGGAATTTCTTTTTTAAAGATCTGATATTTAAGTGAACTATGTATACATACATAAATGATTTTTATGTTTATGGATGATATCCACATTTCTAAATTTTCTACTTCTACTGATGGAACTGTATTATCAGTGATTATATCGATATTGTTTACGGTCGCGAATTTTAATACAATTTTAGATGATTAAATACGTGAATGTAATACAAGAGTGAGAATATAAAATAATTACATAATCCTACATACCTATGTCTATGTTTTGAGCAGATCGTTGACGTCACCATCAGATCTTACCTAAATTAGTGAGGTCTTCATTAATATATACTTTGTTATTATTAGTACCTACCACCGGTTATTTTGTCACTCGTTACATCCCTGAACTTCGACCGACGTTGAGCCAGCCAGGCGTCACGTGATTCGGTTCCAGAAGATTTTAATGCTACGATTATTAAAACCGCTTTAACTCCTTGTTTTCTAGGTTGGTTTCTAATCACAAAATCGTTTCTTATTTATTTATTTATTTTTTTAAACTTTAATGTACACAAAAACAAGTAATGGTACATAAGGCGGACATTAATGCCATATGGCATTCTCTCCCCGTCAACCTTAGGGATAAATTGGAAATCTACGAAAAAATAGGCATATGTAATTATAAGAAACAAATAACATAAATAGACTTTATAAATATAGATAGGTACTAAAAATATTTAAAATGTACACTACAATATAAACACAACATAAATATATAGGTATATGCATGCTTATAATAATATATATACTTACTAAATAAATATATTGTATAATAATACATATTATAATAATAATATACCTAGACTCAGCGTTGTGGAGCAAGAGCTAAACTCAACCATTAGTCCACAGTGGTCGGATGGCAAGCAACGTATAATATGTTTTTCTTTGTATTTACAATTAGAGGAGACATTATCAATGCAGGTGGCGGTAGAGGATGTTATCTAAAAAAACATTTTTTAATTAATTGAATTAAATAAAATTGTACAGTGGCATATTAATAATATACACCTCTGCCTACTTCGGGGATAAAAGGCGTGATGTTACGGAAATAAATATAACGATTACATGCTTCTTGTATTATCTATTCTATACATATAATAAATACTAGCTGTTACCCGCGACTTCGTCCGCGTAGAATAATGACTTCTGACAGAAATCATCAGAATCAATTCAGTGCCTGTGAAATGATTTATCGTGGTTTCAAAAAATAAATAATCCCACAGGGATCTTATCAGTACAGTGCCTGTTTCCGTAAGGCTTTAGTGATAAAATCTATTCTATTGACTATTGTGATACGGAATCTTTCTAAAATGAGTTCAGTGGCTAAGAGGTAGAGACTCCCGGGGCTATAACGCATAGTTCCTGTTCCGTGGGACTTCTGTGATAAAAACTATCATACATCGTTTCCCAGGTCTCAAATTATCGTTTTACCGAATGTAACTCAAAAAGTTTCAATGACTCTAGATTCAATAGCTAAGACGATTTATACAAACTCTCATTTCCTATTTTATACCCTAAGGGGTTGAATTTATCAAAATCCTTTCTTAGGAGATCCTATGTCATAGTAACTTTATGCCTGCAAAGTCTCATCCCGATCGGTTTAAAACAGACAAAGTTTCATACAAACTTTCATCCCCTATTTTACCTAATTAGAGGTGGAATTAGAGATGAATTATCAAAGTCCTTTCTTAAGGGACATTTACATCATAACATTTACGTTCATACCAAATTTTAACCCGATCGGTGCAAAATTGTACGTACTTTCATCCTTTATTTTACCCCATTGGGGTAGAAATGATCAAAATCGTTTAGCGGATGCCTACGTCATAATATCTTCCTACATGCCAAATTTCACCACGATCCGTCCAGTGGTTTGGGCTGAGTGTTGATAGATCACTATGTAAATCAGTCAGTCACCTTTGAATCCATACTATCCATGCTAATAAAAGTACCACCATCCCCCATGATATTTGTATTACTCTTGATGTCTTTCAAAGTCCGATGTGGAGCTTCAATTGCTCTTTTATGGGACATGGTACACTCATCCCAAACTAATAATTTACATTGCTGCACCGTAAAAAGTAAGTAAGTAAGTATAGATGTAGAAAAGAAATTTTTGTACATTGAAGAAATTGACAAAAATAAAATAGCCAGCGTGTTAAAGGATAATTAACAGAACCCATTTCTATCATTTTTGTCATTTTTGTCTGTTTATATGTTTGTTTGTGCTTGCATCACGTAAAATCTATGAATTCAATGTAGACAATGCTTATATACAAAAATTCTATGCAACTTGAGGTATAACTTAGTTTTTGTTTCATCGAAATCGGTTCACTGTATCAGAAGATATGATTAACTCACTATGAGTTCAAGAAGTAAACTATTACAACACGCAATTCAGTATAGTACTTGCAACGACACCTTAAGACTAAAAATAGAACTAATTATTGATAGTTGATATGTTTATCCGATAGATGGCGATGTGCAGAATTTTTTTAAGGGGGAAAATCGTCGATTGACTTATACTTTAGTCTAGTCAGACTTTTTCTGAATAAAAACCACCCTGTTCCGACTCCTGTACTTCGAGCTGGAGCCCCAGTAACCCGTTAAGTTCTGCGCGGCTCGAAAGTAGTTTTTTATTTGATAATAACAAAAGTTTGTGAGGATGTATGTGAGTATGAGATATTAGTAGGATTAAGCTAAGTATTGAAATGCAGATTATTTAAATACAGCTATAAAAATATCAATTTGAACATTATAGTTTTCTAGCATTTGCAAAATGTCAAGCGGATCAAGTTTTGTAGCATTTCCAAAAGATCAAGGGTAGCGCGCAACTCACAGACGCGCAGCATAGATTTCGGCCAACTAGAAACACTACGAGCTACTTTGTTACATGGCAGATGTGGTACCAACAGTGAACAGTGGGGGGGGGGGATCGATGCTGCATATTTTGATTTTATAAAAAGCGTTTGATTCGATTGCTAGAAAAGCAAGGCTTTTTAGAAAAGCCTTGCTTTTCTAGGACTCAGAACTTCTCGTTCCCAACTCAAACTACCTTTATACCAAATTTCTTCAAAATCCGTTCAGCCGTTTAGCGTGAAAGAACAACAGAAGGAGTTATTTTCGCATTACCACAAATACCATCCTCCCATTTTAATTTAAAAGACTTCTATTTCCTATAAGGGTTTCATTTGCAATGTGAAACCAAAACTGAGTGGTAAACTATATTATACGTTTTATTATCGAAAACCTAACTGTTTTAGACATTTATTTAGAAATAAACCACTTCACTAATGTAACCTAACTAATATATAGCTACACACAGTACTGCTAAGCACGAATAACTATCGCATTCGTAACGTAATAGTATCGAGCGCGTTCGGCGCTTTGAATGGCCGGCTCAAGTGAACCATCCAATGGGGTTGGCAACTGTCAAAGTGGCGCTGTTATAGTTGGTGCCCAAAACATTGCATTTCTCTTCGTTAAAAATAAGAAAAATATTTATTCTATCAAAATGACTCGATGTATTGTATTGAAATGCTCGGAAATAGGAGTCCATCGTATCCCAAAAGATAATAAAATTCGTCGGCTTTGGTTAAAAGCCATTCGCCGTGAAGATTTGATTCCAACAAATAATTCGAGGTTATGTCGGAAACATTTTGTGGAAAGTGATTACGAAAAAATCAGCAAATACACAGGTAACCTGCTTGCCAACAATTTCTTGTACCAACTATTAATAAGTATAAACATCTTACGATAACAATAAGATAAGTTAGTTTAATTAGTGCTGTATTAAGACGTTAATAACATTCCTAACTTTTTGTTACAGGAGTTGAACACCAGCACAAATATCTCAAGAAAAGTGCTGTACCATCTGTCTTTGCATGGAACACACAACCAGTTTCGGAGAAGGCAAAGGCAAGACAAGATAGATTAAAAGCCCGTAACCTTAAAAAGAAACTGCTTTTTGAAATGCCTTCTACTTCTCAATCCTGTGAGGACATAGTGCCACTTAAAGAAGATGACGATGTGCACATGACTGATTGCAATGTATCTCAAGAGCTTGTAGTTGAAAATGAATGTGACAAATCACCATTGTCTTATGTTGTAAATCAAAACACTTGTGGCACTCAGACATCAAACATATTAAGACTATTCTCAACTGAGCTGTTACTTGCAGATCATGAGACAGTGCATTATTATACTGGATTAGAAACATCTGCAAAGTTTTCTTTAGTTCTAAGCACACTTTTACCTATGGCTAATCATTTAAAATACCGTTGGAGTCAAGTAGTTTGTTTATCAGTAGAGGACCAATTTCTCATGTTATTAATTAAACTTAGGAGAAACACTACGGATTTTGAACTGAGCAAAATATTTGGTGTCAGTAAGACTGAGGTCTCTAATATAATAGTGACTTGGATAAATTTTGTTAATGATGTTTGGAGTTTGGTTGATATTTGGCCATGCCGAAAATTAGTGGATTTTTATATGCCAAATAGTTTTAAAAAATATTATCCTTCTACAAGGGTGATTATAGATGGAACTGAAATAAATGTTCAAAAACCTAGTCAACCCAATGACCAGAAAGCCTCATTCAGCACCTATAAACATAAAAATACTTTAAAATTCTTGGTAGGTGGTTCACCAGGAGGTTTAATGACATACTGTTCGAGTGCATATGCTGGTTCTGTGAGTGACCGCCAGATAGTTGAGCGCAGTCCTTTGTTGCAGATATGTGATCCTGGGGATAGTATTATGGCAGACAGAGGTTTTAATGTGCAGGACCTGTTTGCTCCTAAAGGAATAGGTATCAATATACCTCACTTTTTAAAAGGCAAATCACAAATTCCAGGTGTTCAACTTAAATTAGACCAGAAGTTGGCTAGCCAAAGGGTTCATATTGAAAGGCTTATAGGTTTAACCAAAACATATTTAATATTAAGAAATGAACTGAACCATTTCTATGTTCCGTTAGCATCAAAAATATTTTTTATATGTATAATGCTCTGTAATTTTCGAGAAGGAATTGTAAATAAAAATAATTAACAAAGAATTTAAGTTTTATTTTATGAAATTTTCACAATAATTATAATAAATATGCTTTTCTAACAAGGCACTTTTAAAATAGTTGTTATAAAAACAGTCTAATTTTGCCAGCATACTACTAATAAAATAGTTGTCTTTTTCTACATATACTACTTTCAAATCTTTGTAAGTATATATAATCATATTGCAGTATGATCTGCCGGAGCAATATAATTGCCCTTGGACTTGAAAGTAGTATGGTGTTGATTTTTTTAACTTTAATACCCCGTTTAAAAGTTCTAAATAAGGAACAGTAGTGGGATTTATTGTCTGATACCTACTAGCATAAGGACATTTAATCTCGATAATTGTTTCTGTGCCCAGTAAACCATCAGGAGATGCAGCAAGATGTGGCCTTTCGCAACTTATAAATATACCACATGGCTCTATTACAAGACCATATTCAGTAGCATACTTGCTTAAAGCAACCTTTTCATTTAACAGTCCATGACTGGTCGCTCTTGATGTAAATTTTTTTTTATTAATTATTTCTCTGGCATATTTTGCCATAGTTGTTGGCCTTAAATTACAAATTATATGAAAGTTACTGGCTGTTAGCCGTATTTGTCTATATTTATGCCATTCAGGACATTCTATTTGGCCAATGGTATCATTTTGAATGATATTTGCCTCTTCTATAGTAATTTTATCCAACTTCATTTCTTTGAAAAACTGGTTTTCTGGATTTATATCTGTATACAAGTGATCATTCACAAGTCCATATGGGTTAGCAGGCTCATATAACTGTTTTAAAGGCATGCGGGAATTCGAAAAACCAAGGATCAAATTACGGAATCTAATATTATAATTTACCTTTTTTATGTTTTTGAGAGGGTATGGTTCAAAAATTGGATTGCTTTTTCTCCTGTAAAATTTTTCTACCTTGACGGGTGTACCAGTGTAAAGCTTTTTAGGCACATGGAACTGCTGCAGTTTTTGGGTACATACTTCTTGCAGAAGCAGAATTTTTTCTCGTACCATGTTCTCAATGCCAAATAAGAGGACTGCAACATGTTTGCACAAGGCATTCGTTCCACTTCCAGCAGGACATTCACAGTGTGATGCTTCAGGATTACCATTAATATTTAATACTATATCTACTTCATACTGTAGACTCTTCATAGTCTTCCTGCAGTATCCTTTTACGAATGTATTGTCACCAACCACAGAAGCTCGTGCCATCAGCAAGTGACGTGATTCATATAACCGCACTACTGTATCAATTTTTTTCTGTGTGCTGGAAAATATAAGAATAGTTGTGAATTACAGTTGTCAACTATCTACTTAAGTATTTAATTTTAACTTAAGTTACAATACTTACTAGCATAAATAATGTCTGATCATGGTTTTATCTAGGGGTGGCAATATTGTGTTACTGTTAATATCCCGATAGGTTTCACTTAACGGTAACTGCATCTTTGGATCTTCATTATCAGCCTTGTCAGGACGGTCGAAATTAAAGTTTTGGTCATATAACTCCAACCTAAAATATGAATTAGTTTAAGTACAAGGTTTTTACAGTTTCATTATAATTAACAAGAAATTATCACTTAAAGTGATACTAAATTTAGAAACAGTTAATCTCCGATGAATGTACATGGTAAGACAAGTAAAATAAGTTAAATAAGACAGACAAAATGTATACCTTTCAACAAGATCTGCTTTCTTTCCACGTAAGGAAGCACCACGCTTTCGGAGCTCATCTTTCAGTTCCTTGATCCGCCAGTTGGAATACATGACGTTTCGATAATAAACCACAAGTAATCACAATTATACGGGCGTCTTCAAGTCACAAAAGAGCGAATAAACAGTTCGTAAGTTTGTAAACGAAATGTGACAGAACAATGGCCGCCAATACAAAAGAACTAGCTATGCTGGCGCCATCTGTGCTAAGCTTTGACCGGCCAACCCCATTAGAACGCTTAACTCGCTCGATACTGTTACGATACGAATGCGATAGTGATTCGTGCTTGGCCCTCAGTAAACAGTAGCCTACTGTATCAATCAACGTAAACAATGATCAAAGCGACTCAAAATGACGAAAAATAAAACTACTTTAGTTAATATTATCTACCTACAAAAAATAACACTTGACTAGTCAAACCTACAGAGCGAACGAATAAAAATCAATAATAGAGCTAGATGTGTACACCGAAATATAATCGTTTTGGAAGCTCGGAACCTATACTTTTGCCGGTAACGAAACCATAGCGCCATCTAACTCGATCCTATCGAGCGTTGAAACAACAGCGTACAATATATTTGCTAATTGTTGAGTATTGTTGCCACTATGATTTCGTGTACCGTTAATGTCATTTTTAATCTATATTTTGTATCGACAATATCACAAAACAGAATAACAGCGCCATCTATCTCATAGTATGTAATACATTCCCGTTTTGAAATAAATTAGTAGTTCATTGTCTGTTGATCAAGCATTTTCATTTTATAATAGGTTATGGGCCCAGAGTAGTTTTTTGGTGTTTTTCTCGCAATTTCTTGGACATTCTTAGTGGAAATAGACTTTGCAGATAGAGATAAACATTTTTAACGCTGTGACTGTGAAAATGACGACGAACTACCTTGTCAGTGTGCCTAAATTAAAAGGGCGGGAAAACTATAGTGAGTGGGCTTTCGCGGCTGAGAATTTCTTAATTCTGGAGGGAATGTCTGATTGCATAAAATCAGAGACTATACCAGCAGTAATAGGAGCAGCAGGTGACGCGAAGACCAGAGCTAAGCTGATTCTGACGATAGATTCCTCACTGTACGTGCACATAAAAAGTGCACTAACAACTTATGAGCTGTGAAATAAATTAAAGAACCTATTTGACGACTCAGGATTTACGAGGAGAATCAGTTTACTGAGGAGTCTGATTTCTGTACGACTGGAAAATTGTATTTCAATGACTTCGTACGTTATGTCTGATCATGGTTTTATCTAGGGGTGGCAATATTGTGTTACTGTTAATATCCCGATAGGTTTCACTTAACGGTAACTGCATCTTTGGATCTTCATTATCAGCCTTGTCAGGACGGTCGAAATTAAAGTTTTGGTCATATAACTCCAACCTAAAATATGAATTAGTTTAAGTACAAGGTTTTTACAGTTTCATTATAATTAACAAGAAATTATCACTTAAAGTGATACTAAATTTAGAAACAGTTAATCTCCGATGAATGTACATGGTAAGACAAGTAAAATAAGTTAAATAAGACAGACAAAATGTATACCTTTCAACAAGATCTGCTTTCTTTCCACGTAAGGAAGCACCACGCTTTCGGAGCTCATCTTTCAGTTCCTTGATCCGCCAGTTGGAATACATGACGTTTCGATAATAAACCACAAGTAATCACAATTATACGGGCGTCTTCAAGTCACAAAAGAGCGAATAAACAGTTCGTAAGTTTGTAAACGAAATGTGACAGAACAATGGCCGCCAATACAAAAGAACTAGCTATGCTGGCGCCATCTGTGCTAAGCTTTGACCGGCCAACCCCATTAGAACGCTTAACTCGCTCGATACTGTTACGATACGAATGCGATAGTGATTCGTGCTTGGCCCTCAGTAAACAGTAGCCTACTGTATCAATCAACGTAAACAATGATCAAAGCGACTCAAAATGACGAAAAATAAAACTACTTTAGTTAATATTATCTACCTACAAAAAATAACACTTGACTAGTCAAACCTACAGAGCGAACGAATAAAAATCAATAATAGAGCTAGATGTGTACACCGAAATATAATCGTTTTGGAAGCTCGGAACCTATACTTTTGCCGGTAACGAAACCATAGCGCCATCTAACTCGATCCTATCGAGCGTTGAAACAACAGCGTACAATATATTTGCTAATTGTTGAGTATTGTTGCCACTATGATTTCGTGTACCGTTAATGTCATTTTTAATCTATATTTTGTATCGACAATATCACAAAACAGAATAACAGCGCCATCTATCTCATAGTATGTAATACATTCCCGTTTTGAAATAAATTAGTAGTTCATTGTCTGTTGATCAAGCATTTTCATTTTATAATAGTTAACAACTTAAAATCTATAAAATACGCAATTTAATGTAAAATGGTTGGAACCAAAATTTAAAAGCGAAAAATACTGAAAAACCACATAACTACCACTCAGCGCCATCTATCGCCAAGTAGCGTAACTACTACACAACGTTACCACGTGTATTTTTTTAAGTATTTTTACATATAAAACAACAAATAAATGAGTCGAAAAGTGCACCGAATAATTGTAGATTAACACCAAATACGCGCTTTAAATTAAAGCGTGAAATTTACAATTAGTAGGAAATTCGTTGAATTGTTTTAAATGGCATACAGCGCCATCTATATAAATACACACAGCTCCATTTATAGTAATATTTTTGTTTTCCCTCGGGAATATCACATTTTTCCGGGATAAAAAGTACCCTATTATTTAATCTGGACTTCTAACTTTCCGTCTGCAAAACTTCAAAGCAATCGGTTTAGTAGTTCCGGCGTGAAAGCAGAATAAACAAACAAACAAACAAACTCACTTTCAGATTTATAATATTATTATTATTATTATATATTATATTATATATTATATAATTAGTGAATAGTAAGAAAGTAAGGATGAGGGAGTTCGGGGTATATCCATTCTACCGATTAATGTATCCAACTCTGTTTGTCTTGGGTATGGTCGGATATAATAAACTGCAGGTTGGACGGCAACTCGCATAGGTGACTTATATCTTTAGGATAATTAGGGGGAAGATGCATAATCCGGATATATTGCGAAGGGTTGAACTGATCGTGCCCGATGGATACGTGGTACGTCGTCGCCAGCCGCGGTTACTGGTAGAACCACGTTCGTGAACTAACTTGATGTGAGAGGCGCTGCGCTCGTGGGCGCTCCAAAAATAAGTATTGTTTCACTATGCGACGTAATCGTTTAATTCACATTTTAATTTCATTTGAGATTCATAAACATTTACAGTGTATACATAGGTGAAATTACTTTTTCTAGGTCACCACAAATTATTTTTGTAGAAAATGAACTTAATAAGCATTACACAAAACATTTATACCATACACTTCAATTTAATTTATGAATATAGATCTAAGTATAATCATAAATTAAATTGGAGTGTCTGTTTAATACAATACACATACCAAAATTTGTCTGTCTGTATTAGCTAATCTTTGGAATGGCTGGACTAATTTTGACGGGATTTTACTGGCAAGTAACTGATGTACTGAGGTGTAAAATAGGCTACTTGTATTTTGAAAAATTGAAACAAAAATTGTTATATTCCATAATTCAAATTCTATGCGGACGAAGTCACGGGAAACAGCTAGTTTATACTAGGATTTACTTTTTAAATGATCTTCATTCCTTGAACAGTAGCAAGAAGCAATCTAAAAGTTCTAAAACTGATATTGAATATTGCCATCTTACACACATCTTAAGACTTAACATTATAAACATTACTCAACTAATTACAATGTAATACAAATCTATTTAGAATATAACCTGTTTAGAAGCCATTGTTTTTTTATTTGCTTTTCCTAAAATTCTGAGGCCGGCTTGCGAGCGTGTACAACTAGCAACCGATATTTATAGTTAAAACTTTCCTCATCGGTATTATAGTACTTGGGCACAATATTCAAATCTTTTAAAATATTGAAGTAATCTTGCTTTAGATCTTCTTCCATATCCTTCGGAATGTTGAATGGGCTGATTGCTTGAAGGGTTTCTGCAAAATAAACGATAAAGAAACGCTATAGTAAGAGGTTTGTGGGGGAACTATATTTGGACAGCGGTGAATTGATGACATAGAGACTGTAAATCATATCACATCGGTCGAAGTAAACTAAATTCTTGTTGTACAGAGAACCCATAAAAGAGTGTAATTTATGTTGGGGCGTAGTTAGTTTACACTGGTGGTCAATCTGGATACACTTTTTAATTACCTGAATCAATTAATTATTAATAAGATTCTATATAGCTTAATAAGATCTGACTAGCTGTTCCTCGCTCCTTCGTGCGCGTATAATAATGACTTCTTAAAAAATGAATTAGCATTTTTAATAAGTCTTTTCCAAGGTTAATTCCAATGGTGAGTAACAAATCTCATCAAAATTGATTGAGTAATATTTATTGTAAATGTTGTTAGTTTTCGTGATTTCAAATAATAAGCAATCCCAAAGAAATTTACGAACTGCATCATAGCAATATGTCTGATTTGCAGACTGTAGTAGAATGGTAGTTCTGAGATACCGGAAACATATTTTTCAGACGTTAGTCGTGTAGCGCAAACCCGTAAAATCACTTAAAAAAAATTAAATATAAATAAAATGAGACAAAAAAAATGTCTCATAGCATACGTCTGAAAATCTTTTTGATTAGTAAAATTTGGTTATTTGATGCGAACAAAACAATTTTCAGACGGAAATGTGACCGCATTAAATTTTGAGACCGTTTTGAAAATGTTAACAAATTTTACCGACCGGTATCATAGCAATATATCTGAAAATTGTTGTGCACATGTGCAAAAAATTTATATCAGACAAATTAAGTCTAGAACCTTCTCTATCAGACAACTTTTCGATACTCGGATATCATTTAAAAATCGTCTTGAGGCATCTTGAATTTTCTGTTATAAACCAATGATTACATTGCGACCCTGAATTTATTAGATGATAATTAACAAATAATATACCCGAAACTGTAACATTGAACTTGAAGGACTGAAATAAATCGCACAAAAGGAAACTGGGATGAAGTTGAAAAAAAAAATCTATGAATATCTATGAAGGCTGTAAATTAAAAAAAAAACATTTAACAGAGGCGTCGGCCAGGCGACTCCGAAACGTTATTTTCGTTTTTGGGAGTATATGCTACACTTAAAGTGTCTACCTGTACCGCAATATATCCGGGTTATGTATCTTCCCCCTAATATCCCAACGTCACCACGTGTGTTTTTTAAAAATAGGTACTACCTCTATAATACTGCAGTTTATTATATCCGACCATACCCAAGACAAAAAGAGTTGGATACATTAATCGGAAAAATGGATATACCCCAAACTCCCTCATCCTTACTTCCTTACTATATTAATTAAATATTATAAATCTGAAAGTGTGTTTGTTTATTCTGCTTTCACGCCGTAACTACTAAACCGATTGCTTTGAAATTTTGCAGACGGAAAGTTAGAAGTCCAGATTAAATAATAGGGTACTTTTTATCCCGGAAAAATGTGATATTCCCGAGGGAAAACAAAAATATAAGTATAGATGGCGCGGTGTGTATTCGTATAATATGCCATTTAAAACAATTCAACGAATTACCTACCAATTGGAAATTTCACGCTTTAATCTATAGCGCTTATTTGGTATTAATCTACACCAAATTCCACGCGAGAGAACAGCTATTTGTTTGTTTGCCAATCTTAAACGGCAAAACGGAGGTACTTAAAGTGATTTTTAACTGAAGGTAGTTGAAGGGATGGATAGTGACATAGGCTACTTTTTACCTTTTTGTGACGCGCGCGAAACCACGGGTAAAAGTTAGTTTTACAATAAATATAACTTAAGTACCGAATCGATTTTGTTAAATCGAATTAATATTAACCTCGGAAAAGACTTATACAAAAACCCACATTGTACCAGAAGGCATTATCTGTTTTTTTTTCTTTTTATAATTCTTTGAAATGTATAACATCTTGCTTTTATGATGGTAATATACTATTTAATTCAAATAAATAAATTATAATACGCCGACGAAGTCGTGGGGTATAGCCTCGTACCTATATGCTTAGTAATAACGCAACGCAAGGAAATAGGTTATAATAAAATAGGTTTTATCTGATAATGCCGTACACCACTCGATACTGATCATCAAAACCATATTCGAAACTCGATGGAAACTCGGTTGTCAATAAAGAGGAAAAAAATATCTATCAACAAAATGTCAAAATGACATTAATCCAAGCTTACACCATCGATAAACCATGTGGCACCATGGACTTACTTTTACTCTCAGACTAACGTTGGAATAGCTTAATCCGACATTACTTGTTTATGAATACCGAATTTGACTATTCTAAGCCTAAACCATCGAGTAAAGTTATTCTTACTCTATTCTATGTTCATTAAAAACATTTTGAAGCGCTCGTCAGCTGTCAGTGCCAATGTTATCGTTTTTCATTCGCTCTCTGCGATCCCGTTATTTTGTGTTTTATTATATACTAGCGACCCGCCCCGGCTTCGCACGGGTGCAATATGCATGTATTATACATACAAACCTTCCGTAAGAATCACTCTATCTATTAAAAAAAACCGCATCAAAATCCGTTGCGTAGTTTTAAAGATCTAAGCATACATACGGACATACAGCGAAAGCGACTTTGTTTTATACTATGTATTGATGTGTATCGGTAATTAATAGATAGTAAGATTCAGAATACTGTATGTTTGTACATGATTTAATAGAGTGGTTCAAAGATGTAGTGACCACCTACAATGGTCCTTTCCGGTAATGTTATATATAATATACATAATTATTTGAATGGCAATAGGAACCTAGAGAACCAATTCCACTATGACCTTAGGCCCCAATTAGCTTAAACTAAATTGGAACAAATAAAATCAATACTGACTCCAATAACTGCCGATGTCGAAAATATATGATAAATTTTTGCATTCCACCTTGTAGTCCACGTATCCAATTTTTTCCAATATTTTCCTCATATCTTTCGCTGGATCCTGAAAATAGAGATATAGTTATTTATGGTTTAATTAATAGGTCAAGGCAAATAATCTATTTTTAAACACTGGACGTAAAGGAACAAGTAAACATGTTATTTAAAACGTCAATAAGCCTGATGATATTCATGAATCAGACTATTAAGTATTTGACAAAGTGTCGTCCGAGGAAAAGTTTAAAAACCAACGTAACTATTTTGTACGTTTTCATAATTACAAACATACTTCACTTGATTTTCATAAATAATAACAATACATTACTATTTTTTTCCATAAAAGATGGATGAAAAGGATTTCTATCTTCCACGAGGTATAAATTTTTAGCCCCTATCATATTCATAGTCATACTAGGTTGCCAGTTAAGAGTGCTCTGCAGTTGACCTAATGACTTGATACTAACTATAAACTGAGACTAGTATAGATATACCTGTGAGTCGTGATATGGCGATATGTGTTTCTCAGCATCTTTAAGCAGAGTGCTCCATTTAGTGTTACGCGATTGAATGCGGTACAAGTCAAACAGGGGTGCGCTTGCGTTGAGTATCGTGACGCATTCTCCATCTTCACTCAGCAAATCGTAAATATTTCTGAATACGCGCCTGAAACAGTAAAAATGTAATTAATCACATGAGTACCTTCTGAGATTTGATGGGCAATTGACCGCTTGATGGCACAAAGACACTACAGTCTCTTTTTTCAAAAACCCGTAGAATGCGCAAAAGGACTACAATTTGGAGTAACTTTTCCGCCTGACCAATGACAAGGACCAGTTAAAAAAGTTGACGGCCAACCTTAAGGAATGAAGTGGGACCATAAGAAGAAGAAGAATTCTTGTAAATATTTCTGATTATTTCTATATACCTTGTTCAACTTCCTGTGTCTCTACTCTAGTACCTCTAGTGTGCCACGGTATCGAAAGCCTTTTTGTAAACAACGTACGCGATGTAGAGCGCTTTTTGCTTTTCCTGGTATTTTTCCATTTTTAGTTCTAGCGTGTGTATATGATCGATTGTCGAATAGAAAATGTTATTAATGAAATGAACTGTTAGATTTTGATATGATAAGTTTTCTTCTTAAAGAAAACACTGCAGTTCGTAGAACAAAATTACTTATATTTCAACTTCATAAATTATTAAGTGTGATTCATTATTTAATATAATTTCAAATGTGACCCACGACTCACGAGTGCACGGGAATGTGGACGGAATGCGACTGACTGTTTTTGTATAGGGCGGGGTTGTATGCATTTGAGACGACGAGTGAAGTGTCAGCACTCTGACGGGGTTATCCCCGTCAGAGTGCAGATAGCAGTGAGTGAAGATAAGGGCGTGATATTCCTTGGGTATAACAGCCTCCCGATTAAGAGGAAACTTACGGGAGCAAAGGTAAGTTGACGAGGAAAGGAAGGAATCTCTGAATCTAGTCTAGGAGGAGGAGTTGAGGAAAAAGTACATCTTTGAGCTACTAGGGATGACATTTTTATACTCTAGCTATATATTAACTAAGCTTACATAACTTTAGCTTACTATAGTAGGGTAGTTACAGTAGCGGTAGTAGGGTACTTACAGTAGCATAGGGAAACTCATCTATCTTATGTCTATATTTTTTTATGGTACTTAATACAATAACGATTAAGTTTAATAATAAACCAAATTATTCTACATGTTTACTATAGAGATGTCTAACTATGGAATACAAACATTGTTGTTCTCATACTAGCAAGATACATTAGATATGTTTTTATGATGTAGATAACATAACATAACATCACGACTTTTATCCCCGAAGGGGTAGGCAGAGGTGCACATTATGCCACTGTACAATGTAACGCCCACTTTTCACTATTTATGTTATGAATCCCATGTAATTATGATGTAGATATTATTTAAAATAAAATTACAGGTCATTGCTTAAGACTAGAAATCTAAAACTATCAACAAAATGTGTAAAGAACTATTAGGGAGCAATAGAAGATGATAATATATTAGACTTAGAAACTAAACATGGTAGAGTTGAAAGTTAACAGATTGTATAGGTAATGAAGTCCATAAAGATTTTAAAGTTCACAGAATGCCCATTATGTTAATAAGACGCGGTTAAATTAATACTATGTAACTTATATAAGTAGTAAGTAGGTATACTAGTCGCTATCGCTGGTGTGTAATTTCATTTCATCAAAATGGTGTTTGATATGACGCCTGTTCATTAGGAGTGATGCGGGTATTATTTCCATGTATTTTGACCTTCGATCAACAATAACAACTAGATAAAGGGTTACGTCCAAATTCAAGCTCCAGTTCTGTCCGTGTGAATAATAATAGTAAAAAAATAACAAACGGAGGAAAATGTTTTAAAATAGTTTTAAGTTCAACCTAATAACAACCATGGCACCTAATAATATAGTCATAAATCGTCAAAATATTATCTAATACTTACGACCATTCGTCACATAAGACAAGAAAAGTATTTTCTTACTCCTGTCATGTAGAAATTTAAAAGACATAAGTTATACAATATTTAGTTTGAATTCAACCTTAAGCTCGAACAAATAAAGATAATTTTTCCATTATTGTCTTGCGATCTATATCGTTTTGTTTTGTTACGTTTTGCTTCTTCAAATTTCGAATTTCGCTACAGGAGGTATGTATGGAGTCGCGTTGGACACTTAAATAATTTTATAATATGTAAATTAAGATTTCGGAATCTTAGTATACATCACTAATTTTTATTAGCGGTACGTTTTTGTGTATGATATGTTTATTTACTTTATCATTAAAAGCCTAAGTCAAAATCATTTATTTCAGTTAGACCAGGAAGGCACTTTTGAACGTCAACAATATAAATTTAAAAGTGAAGCTATTTGCTCATTCCAAGGTGTAGATTCCTATGGAGAAGAACGAGCAAGAAACAATACAATTTTATTTTTCAATACAAATCGACTCGATGCATCCACTGTTCTGTTTAAACAAATGTTGGCGAGGCTTGGCCAAGGAATCGCCAACACACGCACAAACATTGGTGGCGTTGGTTTATAATTGATAATTTTGTCTAATTTGATATTATTTACTAGTTTAAAAGCTTAAAATATAACTTATACTTTATGTACTTATCAAAAGTAAGACACTCCGGCCGTTATACTGCTTTTTCGGTTGTTATTTTTGCAACTTGCAATTATGCACTGCGGCATCGTGAGACGTGAGTACGTTGGCCGTGTTTGGAGCATACTAAACAAAATAAGAGCTCACTTCTCAAGTGAGCTCTTATTTGTCGAGACGATTTTCTTGCGCTGACCCGATATCTAGTTGTTATTGTTGATCGAAGATTTTGACTATTTTGTACGAACCTTTCCATATTGGTGAAAGAGCTTTGCGAAACCGTACATGATTTTTCAGATAAACGAGGTCACCGACCTTGAATTTGATTGGTTTTGTGCGAGTGTCATAATAGTTTTCTGAATTTTCTTTCGATTTTTTAATATATTCCATGGCATTAATTCGACAGTATTTCAGTCTATTTTGGAGTACGCGAACAGAATTGGGATAAGTCACACCTGCAGTTTCTTTATGAATGGAATCTGGTATATAGGGTTACTCGTACTAGAATCATCGAGTGTATCAATAGGCGATGGTATATTTTGGCTACTTATATTATCTAGGTCGTCAAGGTTACCTATCTCCGGTAAAGTTATGGGTGGAACACGTGGACCAATGAGGTCTTCGAGTTGGATCAAATCGTCTGAATTTATTGTTCTGTCAGAGTCAGGTGAATTTACATCTTGTCTTGAAGTGCTTGGCACGGGATCTATAGCGTTAATGGGTTTTGTTGGAGGGTAACGCGATAATGCATCAGCAGCATTATTTAATTTCCCTTTCTGGTAAACTATTTCATATTCATATTCCTCCAATTTTAGTCTCCATCTGTGAAGCTGGCTACTGGGGTCAGAGTGGTTAAAGAGCCAACGCAAGGGACGATGGTCTGTATAATTCGTGTCTGTTGGGATAACCCAACTATAACACATTTATATGTGTGGAGACAAATGATACGCTCGAGAGTCTAATGCCAACTGTGTTTTATTTCATACCTTAAACGTTTGGTTACCTACTGACGCTAAGTTCTTAATATGCTAACGGTGCATATTAATGTATGTCTGTGTGTCCCCACAGTACTCCACTCTTTCTTAAAACAAATTGTCGTTAATCATAATTACATAATTTTCAAAGATTCAAAGAACATATTCAATGTACATTGTGTTTACTAGATAAGAGTAGCTAGTAACATAATGATGATAACAGTTCTGCTGAAGTAGCTACATTGTTCGTTACTTGGAACTTAATCTAACTACTTACTATACTAACCCGTTGTTTTATTTTAAACTGTCAAACACCAAGCGGTCACCGGTGACCGCAACCTATTGTTCTATAATTGTGTCTACAAAACCGGTACTCGACGAGTTAACACATATATACTTATTTATGATGCTATAAGATCGGAGTGTTATTTTACATTTAGACAAAAGTATGCCATAATTATATATGTATTTACTATATTATATTAGTTTGATACACTGGGTAACACTTCTTATTATTATAACACTTTTAAGGTTTCACTTCACATTGTCACTTTGGCCCTGTAATGTTTATGTTTATTTTATTTAAGTTCTTAAAATTATACATTAAAATTAGGTTGCGGTTGCATCTGTTGCTGAGCAGCCGGTATATTGCTAGTATAATGCCATATTGTCATTTCCTTTCTGAACAATTTCTGAGCACTTCCTTTACATTTTTTGAACAGTGTGGTACATAATGGTGATAATAATTATTGCGGCAATTGCTATGCTATTATTATAATTCCATAGTTTTATAATGTTTGCTCAAGATGAGAATTGGATGCGTTGTTTGCTTCATTTTGAGCTATGATGACTTCTTCCTTCTTTTTTTCGACACTGTAGGTTTTAACAATTATAAATTTCTTACCGTACAAGTATGGGCGGAATGTTTTACAACCGAAAAGAATTGCAAGTAGTTCCTTTTCTGTTGTGCTGTAGTTACACTCACTTTTATTGAGTATACGGGATGCAAAGGCGATTAGTTTATCTTTTCCTATTTCGCCCTGAGAAAGAATAGAGCTAATTACGTAATTCGATGCGTCACAAGTTAAAAGGAATGGTTTGGAAAAGCCAGGATATATTAATAATGGTGCTGTCATAAGTTTATTTCTAAGTGTTTCAAAGGCAAATTGATGTTCATTTGACAAATTCTACGTTATTGTTTAGTACGTTGGTTAAAGGTTTTGCAATTCTAGATAGGTAAGCAATGAATCTACCGGTAAACAAACAGACGAATCACCTGATGGTAAGCAATCGGCGTCGCCCATGGACACCTGGAACTCCAGAGGCGTTACAAGTGCGTTACCGGCCTTTTGGGATTATAAATTCGAGGATTGTTGAGATTCAAGGATTGGGGAAAGGAGGGTAATTGGGCCTCTGATAACCTCACTTACACAACGCAAGCGTTGTTTCACGTCGGTCTTCTGTGAGGAAATATTTGGAATCTCCGAAGTTCTATCAAAAAACGAATTACGCAGGGATGAATGCTAATATTAGGCCTTGAGAACCTACAGTATTTCATTCGTGTCTGTGAGGGCCGGATTTACTATGGAAGTTTGCCGATCTCCATTGTAAATTATGAAAACGAACGAACCAGTGGAAGGAACCAACGAAGCACGACCAGTCATAGACACACATGACATCGTCGGAACTGTAGGTCAGTTTTAGCGCGAAAATTTAAACGATTCGTCTAAAACAGCTTTTTTAATTTTTTTATATGTTTATGGGCTATTTTATATGAAATTATTTAAAATAAAACAAAACTAAAAATATTGCATGTTATTGTGGAAAATATCAACGTGTTATTTGAAATCGATACGAGTAGGAAGATATCGGCGGTATCTTAGTATTATCAACATCTTTCTACCTTACCAATTGAAAAAGATAATTAGTGACGCAACAGGCTTTTTTTTTACATAACAT